CTCCTGCATTGATATTTAAAAATTAAGTATTGTAGCAGGTGGCAGAACTCAAGTCTCTTGAGAAAGGAATATGATTGAAGATGGTTGACTGGAATAACACACTTTCTTTCTCAGATTGTTTTATTGTCCTTTAAGTTCTATGAATGGGTTTTCCATAATCAGCAGGTACTACTGTATTTTGCCTTTTATTTTGGTGGCTAAAACTATCAAGCTCAATGTTTGTGCCTTCCAGGACTCTTAGAGGTTACAAAGATCTGTTCTCTAGAGGATAAACTAGAATTTGGACCTAGAAATAAAAGGAACTACATCATGTTTTACATTTTCCCTGTTCACAGTGATCTCTGTGGTTAGGTTTATTGTGCGTTTCTACCTTAGAGAGCAGAAGTAGCTCGAGGCAATGAGAACAGACAGAACTGGGGCGCTAGAAAAATTGCCTGAGCTTGCCAGTTCGTCCTGAACACCTTTGTTTCAGTATCCTCATTTGTTCAAGGAAATTTGCTGGAGGCCATATTTATGAAAGCAGATAGCTCTGGCAGACAGTGTTGTACTTGACGAGAAATAGAATGGATGTATTTGTTAACCTTCAGTTTTCATCCCCACAGGATTACTATTTGTGCCATATTGATAGTGTTGTTGACCATCAAGAGTACATCATGGACTCTTCCTCCCCTTTCTTCTTTGTCTTTTTCTTCTCCATCTTTCTCTTCTTTACAGGTAAAGAACATGACCCAGCACTAGGGAAGTATCTTGCTGCCCATCTATTATCTGGTCACTCTTCAGTTCAACCTAGAGAAAGTCAAAAGCTAGGAAAAAACAACAGCTAGAAATTTCACATCTAAATTTTATCACTTTAACATCTTGACATCAGTTAGGTGTATGTTGAGAGTCTGTTTCGAATGGAACAAAATAACAGTATCTTGCATTTGTTTAGCGCTTTATGCAACATACTGACCTTCATGAGCTTATTTGATTCTTAAATACGCCTGATATGGTTTGGCTCTGTGTCACCGCCCAAATCTTATCTTGAATTAAAATCCCCATGTGTCAAGCGAGGGGGCATGTAATTCCCAAGAGTGGTGATTGGATCATGGGGGCAGATTCCCCTCTGCTGTTCTCGTGATAGTGAGTGAATTCTCTTGAGAGCTGATGGTTTTATAAGTGTTTGGAAGTTCCTCCTTGGCTTTTCTCTTATGCCACTATGTGAAGAAGGTCCTTGCTTCCCCTTCAGCTTCTGCCAGGATTGTAAGTTTCCTGAGGCCTCCCCAGCCATGTGGAACTGTGAGTCAATTAAACATCTTTCCTTTATAAATTACCTGGTCTTGGGTATTTCTTTTCTTTTTTTTCTTTTTCTTTTTTTGAGATGGAGTCTCACTCTGTCACCCAGGGTGGAATGCAGTGGTGTAATCTCGGCTCACTGCAACCTCTGCCTCCCAGGTTCAAGTGATTCTCCTGCCTCGCCTCCTGAGTAGCTGGGACTACAGGCGCCCACCACCATACCGTGCTAATTTTTGTATTTTTAGTAGAGACAGGGTTTCACCATATTGTCCAGGCTGGTCTGGAACCCCTGACCTTGTGATCCACCCTCCTCAGCCTCCCAAAGTGCTGGGATTACAGACATGAGCCGACGCACCTGGCCTCAGGTATTTCTTTATAGCAATGTGAAAACAATCTAATATAACCCCAGACATTGAGAACATTGGGATCACCTTTACTTTTGAGAATGCCTCAAATTACAAACATTGAAATTTGATGACTGACTAAGTGTCATATATTTAGGGGACAGCATGGAAGTCTTGCAGAAGGTATCAGGAAATAAAAGTTCTGGTTTTGGCTTTGCTGCCAACTAACCATGTCACTTCAGGTTAGTGAAGCAACCACCGTGAGCTATTCTTAGTCTATGAAATTATGGCCTGGAACTAGAATTTTGCGGGAATATTTTATGATCTTGTGATTTTAGAATCTCCTTTTCCCATCAAAAGGGAGAAAAATTGGCCAGAGTGATTGTTTTTGTTTACATATTATTTGCCTTCCAAGATAACTGTACAAGTGTAAAACATAAAATAGACAAAAATGTATTTTGAAAAAAGTTTTTTTTTTTTTTTTTTTTTGAGACTGAGTCTTCTTACTCTGTTGCCCAGACTGGAGTGCAGTGGTGTGATTGATCTATCTCAGCTCGCTGCAACCTCCACGTCCTGGGTTCAAGCAATTCTTTTGCCTCAGCCTTCTGAGTAGCTGGGATTACAGGTGCACACCACCATGCCTAGCTACTTTTTTGTATTTTAGGAGAGATGGGGTTTCACCATGTTGCCCAGGCTGGTCACGAACTCCTGAGCTCAGGCAATCCACCTGCCTTGGCCTCCCAAAGTGCTGGGATTACAGGCATGAGTCACCATGCCCGGCCTAAAAAAAGCTTTAAAACAAAATACTGTCATGCTTTCTAACATTATGTTTCAGTTCTGTGGGAAATACATCTTGACTCTGAGTTAGGCTCCTTTTTTGGGAAGATGTGGAACTTTGGCCTTTTTGTCCAAGTAGACTGCACTTCTTATATTACCCTCTTATTCTCTTTTCCCATCCTCAGATATCCCTCTTCTTTTTTCCATTTTCCAAAGTGGAACTTTCCACATCCCCTTTATTGTTCTGGATCTCTATGTTTAGCAAATTGCATTTAAGTCAGAGATCAAAATCTGATCTCCTAGGGCAGGAGTCCCCAACCTCTAGGCCACTGACCAGTTCTGGTCCATGGCCTGTTAGGAACCTGACTGCACAGCAGGAGGTGAGCAGCTGGTGAGTGAGCATGACCGCCTGAGCTCCGCCTCCTGCCAGATCAGCAGCAGCATTAGATTCTCATAGGACTGCTAGAACTGCAAACATGGGGGATCTAGGTTGCTTGCTCCTCATGAGAATCTAATGCCTGATGATTTGAAGTGGAATAATTTCATCCCCCAGACTAACCCCTCTACCTGCTCCTGCCATCCATGGAAAAATCATCTTCCATGAAACTGGTCCCTTGTGCCAAAAATGTTGGGGACCCCTGTCCTAGGGCAAGATCTGGCCCCTAGATACATTGTTTGGTTTTCAAAGTGTTTAAAAAATTGAGCACATTGCCAATATTTAATGAATAGAGAAATTTTGCATAAACACCCAGATTTTAATGTGTCTTGAAAAAAAGGCCATATGGCGATTCTATGTCTGCTTTGCCATATGGCACTACAAAGGTGGGTAACGGTGGCTCTTCTTAGATGGACATATACATGTCCGTTCTCTAGAATCCCCACTCATTTTTGTTTCTTTCCTGTCCCCGCTAGGCATTTGAGTTCCTCACTTAGTTTCATACATACCACGGGAAGTTTTGGGCATAGAAGAAGACAAATATAATTGGTTGATCAGAACATGACCAAAATGCACTTCATGTTCTTTTTAATTCATTATATTTAAAAATATGCCCTGAGGGCTTATTATTAAGTACTATATTCACCCAGGGAACAGAGATAAAGCTTTGTTTCTTTAATCATAATATGACATGATTTAATTTCAAAGCTTAACATTTTATAGTGTGGTGGTTTTTCACTGGGAACAGTTAGATTCATGTAACTCATTGAACATGGGTGAAATGCCAGTTGCATACTCATCATTGAGCTTGGCACTGGGATGTTTGTCATATTAGCTTGGTCAGTTATGACATTACAACTTGGATGGTTGTCACGCATTGCTTTAACAAAGTTTTACTGTTTGGGCAATGTTTCTTTTTAACTGAGGTTAAGGTGAAATTCCCAATTTTATAAATATGCAAATAATATAATTGTGCACAAGCTAAAAATGCCAACTATCTCATAGATAATAGCTTAATTACCTGCTCAGTGTGTGAGGAGTGTATTTATTCCCCGAGGAGTGTATTTTTACATCCAATTTGTATCTTTCCCCTCCAGTTGTGACCTCGCCCTATTGTATATGTGATATTGGGAATTGTTTTACGATTAAATGAATATCATAAATAGAAGAAGGATTTAATTTTATTACATGACTTTTACCACAGGGTGTTGGTTGCTTTATCCTTCTGTTTTCTAGAAGCCTGTGACTATTAAAATGTATTCTTAGAAATGGTTTGAACCATTCCTGTCCTTTCTTGGCTTCACTGCTTTCACTTGGTTTAAAATCCGAGGGCCCTGGACCGTGTTTCTTAGTATTTACAACAGTAGATCACAAGCAGAGCTGCACGGCAGAAGTCATCTTGGAAAGCTTATTTAAAATGTGAATTTCACGTCTTCTCTCTGCCTTCCCCAGCTCCCCCAGTCAATCCAGTAGGTCTGGGGTGAGGCCCAGGAATCTTAATTTTAACAATCTGGAGATTCTAATACAATAAGATCTTTTTGTTTAAACAGGGTATTTGTGTTAGAAACTCAATTGCTATAAACAGGAAGAGGAGCTATTGTTGACTAGACGTTCAGGAACTGGGGGAGTTCTGAGAACTTCCATCCCTTGAGTAGTGATGAGCTGAGCCATTTTTTCTCTCCTTCCTATCAGGTTTAGTGTGTTTATCCTTAGCCCCTCACAGTTGCTCTGAGTCCACAATGTACACTATGGATATTGCGGTGTTTGAACTCACACGCCTGTGACACAGGATCTTAAAGAACAAATGAGCTAGTGTCAGTGAAATATCAACACACAATCAGCTGAAAGGAGAGTCACACTTATGTCACAGAAAACAAAGGATAGTTGCTTTTATGCCACTAATCAAAACCAGAATTTTTTTTCCAGGCTTGTTCTATCTGCATCTGGACAGTGAACAGAAGCATTTCCTGATGGCATAGTACAGACAATGGACACTTAGCATACAATCACATTTAATTACTCACATGTTGCATAGTCTATAATAGCCACTGCACACATACCAGTTCTTAGTATTCAGCAACGTCAAAAAGTCATCGCTTCCGCTCCTTGGCCAAACAGGTTCATTGACCCAACACCAAGTATATTATGTGCCTTACTGGACACCTTGTCAGAGTTCTTTATAGGGAAAGACCCTGACCCAGCTAGATCTTGATGCTCCTATCTCTTAAGAATCAACTGTTTCTTACATTTCATCACCTCACATAACCTATTCTGCAATGATACTTAGCTGGTTTGTGGTCTGATTTGGTGAGTATTTCAAAGAACTTGAATTTTTGGAATATGAAGACATGTCCATGGGTAACAGGAAACTGACTGTCTTTGTCTTGTCCCTATAGGAAGTAAGAAGAAAAAGACTTTTTAGTGAGCCTTTGACAGAACATTGACTATTTTTCCCCCAATCCCCAAATACAGCCTACGGTGTTAAAAGTTCACTTAAGGGCCGGGCGCGGTGGCTCAAGCCTGTAGTCCCAGCACTTTGGGAGGCCGAGGCAGGTGGATCATGGGTCAAGAGATCAAGACCATCCTGGTCATCATGGTGAAACTCCGTCTCTACTAAAAATACAAAAATTAGTTGGGCATGGTGGCGCGTGCCTGTAATCCCAGCTACTCAGGAGGCTGAGGCAGGAGAATTGCCTGAACCCAGGAGGCGGAGGTTGCGGTGAGCCGAGATCGCGCCATTGCACTCCAGCCTGGGCAACAAGAGCGAAACTCTGTCTCAAAAAAAAGTTCACTTAAAATATAACATGATATTTTTTGTTAAGTTGTACAACAATGCTGTAAGGATATATATGTATATATATATATGAATGACCTTTTAATTAAACCCAAGAAATAGTGTGGATAAAACAAAAATTTAAAACTATTGAGGGAGAGACTGTATGGCTGAGGAATGATGATTAGTTTGATGTTCAGCGTGAAAGAATATCCTATTCTTAGGCAAAGAGTCTCTTGCATCAGATCTCTTCAGCTCATGAAATGAAGCAGAAACTTTAGGCAATTATTTTATAATCCAGATAAATCTGCTCCTTTGACTGTGAATTAACTGAATATCCATCATGCCTAAAGAGTAAAGGGGGTAGAGCAATAGCCCAGTGTTCTCTGAGGGATTATATCTTTTCATTTTGCCTACTTCTCCTTTTACCTCTAAAATATGACATAAATTTAGACATTAACCAGGAGAAACTGCTCTTAGGAAGAAATTTAAAGAACAGCGTTTAGGGCCGGGTGCGGTGGCTCACGCCTGTAATCCCAGCACTTTGGGAGGCCGAGGTGGGTGGATCACGAGGTCAAGAGATCGAGACCATCCTGGTCAACATGATGAAACCTCGTCTCTACTAAAAACACAAAAAAATTAGCTGGGCATGGTGGCGTGTGCCTGTAATCCCAGCTACTCAGGAGGCTGAGGCAGGAGAATTGCGTGAACCCAGGAGGCGGAGGTTGCAGTGAGCCGAGATCATGCCATTGCACTCCAGCCTGGGTAACAAGAACGAAACTCCATCTCAAAAACAAAAACAAAAAAACCCCAGCGTTTAAAATGACTGCCTTTTCTTCATTTCTGTTATCTTTTGTGGGTAGATAAGGCAGTCATTTCACTGAATGGCATTTTGCAGCTGTGTCTCGGAAAACACAGGTGCACCCTTTTTGTTTTTTGTTTTTTTTTTGAGATAGAGTCTCACTCTGTCGCCTAGGTTGGAATGCAGTGGCATGATCTCAGCTCACTGCAACCTCTGCTTCCCAGCTTCAAGCAATTCTCCTGCCTCAGCCTCCCCAGTAGCTGGGATTACAGGTGCATGTCACCATGCTGCCTAATTTTTGTATTTTTAGTAGAGACGAGGTTTTGCCATGTTGGCGGACTAGACTTGAACTCTTTACCTCAAGTGATCTGCACACCTTGGCCTCCTGAAATGCTGGGATTTCAGGCATGAGCCACCATTCCTGGCCAGGCCAGCTGCACCCTCTTTTGGGAAGAAGGTAGGCCAGTGCTTCCAAGTGCTCAAATCTATAAAATAATAACCACTGCCACTTGGTGAGCAGTCACTCAACCACCTCATTTACTCTTCACAAAAACCATGAGGTAACTGCCTTTATGATTCCCTTTTTATAGAAGAATAAACTGTGACACAGGACAAATTAGTAACTTTCTCCAAACAGTTACATTGTTTGTAACTGATGATGGGAGGTGAAAATTGGCCATCTGATTCTGGAAGCTGCCTCCTTAAACTTCTTTCTGGATTTGGAAAAGGAGAGAATATACTTATTTTTGATGAATCTGGTTTACCTTATCAGTAAACAGAATAGCATAGCATTTCTAATTTTGACTGTTTATATATGGGCCCTTGTCCCTAAGCTTGTCAATTGAAATTTGTTTTTCTAAAACACAGGAAGAAAAGATTGAATTTCTATGTCAAAATTAAGGAAAAATAAAAATTCTATCTCTAGTTTCTGGAAAGCTTTGATTTTTAGAAATATCGACATTGGTATTCTATAAAATACTTTCTTGGTATAATAATGGAAAAGTTCACAAGCAAATTAGGGATGACACTTGATATGATTCAAAAGCCAGTGCAAACACATTGGTTCTCGATATACATGTGTCAAATGCTTTCAAAGCTATCAGTAAGGAAATGAATTTACCCAATAATCAAAGGAATAATATAATGATATTTTACTTCACTAGTTAATTCCTGAGACTATAAAAGACAACATTTAAAAAGGACTGTGGTTAAAAAAATGCTCAATTTCTACTCAATAGTTCTAGTGGATTTCATGCCAATACAGCTGTTGATTTTAAGCCAATACTGGCTTTCTTCCTTTAATACAACCTTGAAGTTGGCTCAGTCTCTCAAATTAACTTCTACATTAGAAATGGGTTGTGTTCTAAATAGTTCATTAGTTGGTAGCTTGGAAGTTGGAAAACATTTTGTTTCAGAAAAATAATATCTCATATATGTTGGTTAGGTTCCCACACTATCATAGAAAATAATATAAATTGAAATGGAAAAACTAATAGTACTGTAATTCTCAGCATTGTAGGTCTGTGAGAATGGCTTGAGTGCAAAAAATAAAACACTGATATATACACTGTATAATTTCAAAATATGTGGACATAAGCCATCCATCTCAATGGTAGTTATTCAGATAGTGGAATTATGAAGGATTTTCTTTTTACATGTTTTTACTTTGTATATTGACTCTATATTTAGTAACTTTTTTTTTTTTGAGATGGAGCCTCACTCTGTCACCCAGGCTGGAGTGCAGTGGCATGATCTCGGCTCACTGCAACCCCCGCCTGCCACATTCAGGTGATTCTCCTGTCTCAGGCGCCTGAATAGCTGGGACTACAGGCACACACCACCATGCCCAGCTAATTTTTGTATTTTTAGTAAAGATGAGGTTTCACTATATTGGTCAGGCTGGTCTTGAACTCCTGACCTCAGGTGATCCATACCTTTTGGCCTCATAGAATGCTGGGATTACAGGCATGAGCCACCATGCCTGGCCGTAACTTTTTTTTATCATAAACATTTAGTGCTTTTATACAACTGGGAATATATATACATATTTCTATAAGAGCACAAAGTATATATGTGTATATATACATATACATATATACATAAACATACATGCATACATATGTGCACACATACATGTATAGATACACGCACACATATGTGCACACGCACATATGTGTTTCACCATGTTGACCAGGATAGTCTCTATCTCTTGACCTCGTGATCCACCCGCCTCGGCCTCCCAAAGTGCTGGGATTACAGGTGTGAGCCACCACGCCCGGCCCTTTGCTTATGATTATCTCTTGATTTGCTTTCCTGCCACTGCTGAGTTCGATGGTGCACTTAGTCTCTCAACAATCATATTTTTGCATTTTCTCTTCCCTGTGATAAGCTAATAATTGTGAGACCCAGAGTTCCCTTCTCTTGATTTTCCTCTTTCTACTCACACAAGTCAAATATATAGAGTTCTTGCTGAAGAGTTATGGCCTCATAGGGAGTTGGAAAGTTGGGATGCAGAGTGTGAGAGAGAAGGGGCTGTGCACGCTCCTGCACAGTCATGCAGATAAATTGGACTTGGTGTTAGAGGCCTTGACTCTACCACTTCAGGAGACACTGGCCAAGTTTCCTCTAACAGACCCTGGCCTGCTTTTCTTTTTTCTTTTCTTTCTGTCTTTTTTTTTGTTTCTTTTTGAGACTGAATTTTGCTCTTGTTGCCCAGGCTGGAGTGCAATGGCATGATCTTGGCTCACTGCAATCTCCGCCTCCCGTGTTCAAGCGATTCTCCTGCCTCACACTCTGGAGTAGCTGGGATTACAGGCTTGCACCACCACACCTGGCTAATTTTGTATTTTTAGTAGAGACAAGGTTTCTCCATGTTGGTCAGGCTGGTCTCCAATTCCTGACCTTAGGTGATCCACCCGTCTTGGCCTCCGAAAGTGCTGGGATTACAGGCATGAGCCATCACACCCAGGCTCCTGTTTTTCTTTCTTTCTCTCTTTTTTTTTTTTTTTGAGATGGAGTCTTACTCTGTCCCCCAGATTGGAGTGCAGTGATGCCATCTTAGCTCACTGCAACCTCTGCCTCCTGGGTTCAAGCAATTCTCCTGCCTCAGACTCCCAAGTAGCTGAGATTACAGGTGCAGGTCACCACACCTGGCTAATTTTTATATTTTTAGTAGAGACAGGGTTTTGCCATGATGTCCAGGCTGGTCTTGAACTCCTGACCTCAAGTGATCCACCAGCCTCAGCCTCCAAAGTGCTCTCTTGACTGTTGTCTCACATCCTTCCCATTCTCAGGCTGTTCCAGCTCCTAAATACCAATTCACATATTTTGGAGAGCAAATTGCTTTTCCGTTTGTCTCTTGGACCTTATGAGTTCTGCCTAAATAGTTTTTTTAAAAACAGTTTCCCCCAAGGCCCACTAAGGCACCTGCCTCCACCAGAGCAGCTGTTCTCTGAGAGGAGTTCTGTGTTCAGCTCTTAAAGTAACTGTACCTCCTCCCTGAGAAGCACTTTGCTGCAGTGGGTAGTTTACTTGTGTGCCTTTGTCACTAAATGAGAGTTTGGAATGTAATGGCTTACTTTTGCTCAACCTTGTGTCACCAGTGCCTGGCTTAGAATATGATCACTAATGCTTAATGAATAAATGACTACTAAATTGTCCATTTGTTAGAGGCATCTATTAGAGGGTGCTGTTTAACAAATTTAACAAATAAATTTGTTAAATTCCCAAAATGGACATAGGTGAGATGGAAATTATTTATATGCTATTTGGTTTTGTTTCCTCCACTAGGTACGACTTCACTTATCCAGGGGAATATCTCAGTAACCATCTCAGCATGTGCCTGTACGCCAACTTGAAGCATAGTATATATTACCTGCAACCAAAAACATGCTCAGGAGAAGCTCTTTGGCTGGTACTAATGCTGGAGAAAGACTCTGCGGCAAACACCTTTTCTTCTGAGTCTTGCTTCTTAATTGGAGAACATGCCAGTGACTTAAGAGTTCCCTGAGCTTCTAGAATTCTGCTCTTTGGGTATCTTTTCCCAGCTTTCCAGGGATCATTTACAGCAGACGAGCAAACTGGTGAGGAAACGGAATAGCGTCTAACAATCATGACATTGCCTGTACAAAAGACACAAAATTCAACTTAAAAAAATTCTACCCTAATGACACTCACAAACAAAAAATGATAGAATTTATTGAAACTTACTAGACAGAACTATTGTTTCTCATTTTTTTTGCATAAAAGATACCCATTCGTTGATTTATTTTAGAAATATTCATTGAGTGCCAACCATATGTCAGGATCTTTTTTAAGAGATGGGAATATTGTAGAGAACAGCATAACATTCCAGAGTTCGCCTTTTTATGTGAGACACAGGCAGTAAACAAACAATATGTGACACACTTTATGTAGTAATACATTCTAGGATGACAAATAAAGCTGATGAGGACAAGGGGAGAGAGACAGATGCAGGGAGGTGTTCTGAGGCTACTTCAGTTGTGTGCCAGGGAAGACCTTTCTGAGAATACAGCATTAGAACAGGGACTTGACATACGCAGATAATAAAAAAAGACCTTAAGATTGGGAAAACAGGAATCTTTCAGACATGCCAATTCTTGATGGTCTTCTTATTCCTGATTCTAGAAGAACAGGCTTATCCGCAGTGTCTGATCACCTGAATGACCACAGTAGTTTAACTGGTTGGTGCTAACTGGCCTATCTATGAATGCATGTCTTGGCCTTAGTTGGGATAGTCATTAGGAGGACGTTTATTGAATGAGAGATGAATGCAAAGGAGACACATGGCAAAGAACAAAGATGCATGGTGTGAGAAATTGGAGAGCCCCTGAAAGAGATAGAGAGATTTGTGGCTTTAGTTTCTGGGGCCTTCCAATTTAGTTTCTGTTCATACTCGGCTCCCGATAAACTCTTTCTTTGAGGTAAAGCAAATCTTCTCTATTTTTTTTAAATAACTAAAACATGTTAATTAAAAGGACTTTATTTTAGAGGGTCTTGGTATTTCTGAATGGCAGCTCTTACGCTGCATTGACTCTGTGATCCGGAGCCATTTAACCTCTACTTGGATGTCTGGTGATTATCCAGCATCTACCTGCATGTCCGGTGTTGTCCACGTGGCTTACAACACTGACCTCATGGGTTGTTTTTCATTTGCTGGAGCACTTTATGAATGACTGTGGAATCTTCATTTTTTTCTCACTGTAGCTTTGCCGTGAACTAGCTGGAAAGTGTAGAAAATGCACTGCATTATGGGTAGACCTTGCTAGTGCCACAGCACAATTACTTTTTATTTATGTTTGCTGACCACTTCTGGAGAAAGCAGACAGAAAATCATTATGGTTATTGCAAAAGTGGGAGGCTGTTTTGGCTTTTTGTAGAACAGAAGGCTGAATTGTAGGAGGAATCTAGGGGGAGGTTAAGTTCAAATCTATCTGAAATGATTAACTGCAAATATTATCCATAAATTATCTTTAAATGTTCCTCTTGGTCATGATATATAACTTCTATGATGATCTAAAGACAGATCTGTGACTACTTACAAACATGAAAGTTTTTGTCTGGAAGGATTATGAAACAATCCCTTGATACTGAATCGGAGGAAAACACAACAGGAAATTATGCTGATGATAGCAAAGTTACATTTATTTTTACTTGGGACCTACAGTTAATTTGGGAGTGATTAGCATATAGGCTCATTGCTCATCTCCATGGGTCACAAAGAGTCTGTGTCCTTTAGTTTCTTATTAGCAAAACAGATAAGATATTCAACACAGCATCACAGGCTCATTAGAACAATTATAAAGATCACAGCCAAATGCGGTTTATTTGCCAGCAAAGGATGTGAGCAGAGAATCAGAGGTCCGGCAATGCCATAAAGAGTTGTTTCTTTTATCCCCAGTGTGGCAAATTGCCTCAATGTTCCACAGGGCAAGAGGGGCTGGGACACATTCCTGAAAGCGCTGGCTAGATTTTGTATCTACCAAATACTTGTGCACTATTACAGATGTTTTCAGGAGCATTTATCCAGTAAGTATTCATTCTGAGCAGGCACTCTGCGTTCTCAGTATATTTTATCACCAAACAGTTGTGTTCCTGGGCTGTAGCGTAGCTCTGCATCCTCAGGTGACTTCAGGGGACGTAGGGTTTGCCACTCACAGACGGCCTCACTTCATCTCGCTACACATACCAAGGAACGCATGGAAGAACTTTTCGTTCTAAGTGATCCACTTCCAGGTCCTCATTAATTGTTCCCTTTCTTAAAGTGAGACTCATATTTCTGATTTCACATTATCCTTTCTAAAAGAATAGGTTTATATATTTTTGTTTCCAAAATAGGATTGGACAAGTTGGGTAAGGTAAATCTCTATGGGCTTTATATTCTCAACTGTAAACAAGGAAACTCCTATTGGATGGTCTAATATTTCTTTCTAGTAGCAGATTTCTATGATTCAATTAGTTTTAAGTATGAATTTCAATGGACGTTGGCAAATACGATTAAAAGTACTGATAAAAACTTACGCTCAAGTCAAACATTGACGTGTTCAATGATATTACGACAACCATTACTTAGTAAATTGATATTGAGTCTTACTCGCCCTGTCTCATTTACTCCTCTCAGTAGCTCTACAAGGTAGGTTCCATCATTACTTCCATTTTACAGATGAGAAGAGTGATTATGAAAAGCTCTCTACATCACTCTACATTCATAGAATCGTATAATTTTGCAGTTGGAATAGCACAAGTAAAATCTTTAGCCCAATCCACTTATTTTTACATAAGGATGCTAAGATCAGAAAGTTTATGTGACCTGCCCAATGCTGAACAACTGTTACAAAATAACTGGGAATACAATGCAGGTGTCTTCATGCTCAGGACAATGTTCTTCCTACTTATATCACTTGCTATTATAATAGCACATAACATTTCAGAAACAGAGGAATATCATTTAAAGTAATTCAACTGGACTCCCAAGTACAAATAGAAATCAAATTTCTTTCTGTGTTTTATTTGTGCAACAAGGTTTCCTACAATTTCATCAAATATTTTTCACCAGTCGTTTTCTTTTTTTTAAGACAGGGAGGGTTTCACTCTGTCACCCAGGCTGGAGTGCTCTGGTGCAACCTTAGCTCACGGCAGCCTCAAGCTTCTGGGCTCAAGGAATCCTCCCACCTCAGCCTCTCAAGCTCTCAAGTAGCTCAATCTACAGATGTACATCATCATGCCTGGCTAACGTTTTCTTTTCTTTGAAGAGATGAAGGTCTCACTATGCTGCCTAGGCTGGTCTTGAACTCCTGTCCTCAAGTGATCCTCCTGCCTTCACCTCCCAAAGTGCTGGGATTACAGGCGTGAGCCACCATGTTTGGCCTCACCAAACCTTTTCAAAGTTAATGCTAACATTCTTATTGGAAGTTACCACCCATATGCTGAAGAAGTATGATATTAATTGTGTGTTTAACTCTTATTAATATGTTCTAATCTCCTCTAAGCTTGATGATGTTTAGACCTTGATAATTTAAAGGGCAATACTCTGTTTTTGAATAGTGTTAATACATGTTTTAAAATAGGACAGTTGGTTCTAAGATGCAACTTACTTCTCTATTGGGATAAGTATCACAGAGAATAGATTTGAAGGAGTGTCTCTTTTTTTGGAGCGAGGCAGTGGCTTTCAATCGTGGATGGGGTGTGATATTTGGCAATGCCTGGAGACATTTTTGATGGTCATAACTGGAAGGGGAAATGTGAGTACTCCAGCATCTAGTGGCTAGAGAACAGGGAAACTGCTAAACACCCTACTGTGCTCGAGATGACCTCCACAATAATTATTCAGTCCCCAGTGTCAGTAGTGCAGAGGTTGAAAAACTGTCAACTAAGCATATATTACAAATTTGTTCACATCTTTTTTTTTCTAGCAGGAGAATGTCTAACCTCTTTTAGGTTACTTTTTCACAGTTTTATTAAATAACCAGTAGACAGTTATTCAATCCAGAGTTGTTCTTATGAAAAGAAAAAAACACCTTGATGAAATCTGTTCTCAGCTTTTAAATATAGGATCTCCAGCACTTTGGGAGGCTGAGGTGGGCGGATCACTAGGTCAGGAGTTCGAGACCAGCCTGGCCAATATGGTGAAACCTTGTCTCTACTAAAAATACAAAAATCATCTGGGAGTGGTGGCATGTGCCTGTAGTTCCAGCTATTTGGGAGGCCAAGGCTGAAGAATCACTTCAACTTGGGAGGCAGAGGTTGCAGTGAGCTGAGATCATGCCACTGCATTCCAGCCTGGTTGACAGAGCAAGACTCCATCTCAAAACAACAACAAGAACAACAACAAATAAACAAACAAAAAACAAATATAGGGTCTCATACTAGAGAGACACATCCTAACTGGGATAACCAACTGGCAAATATGACCTGTTCCATTGTCAAGCTGTTCAGAACTTCTAACTGGCATTGCCTGAAGCCTCTGACAGATGATTTTAAGAGTTTTGAGTATTTAATTATATATATCAATTATTTTATTTGAACATATTGTATGTACGCGAGTATTGACGATTTTAATGTAGAGTGTATTTCTCCCTCTGCTGATCTCTGACCCCATGTGTAATCTTCATGGTCAAAATATTTCTCATAAAAAGTGAGAGATTTGAATTTTATAATATATCAAACACTGACCCTGTACCTCTAAGTCTTCAGTCTGTATAGCAGGCTGAATTATATGCAGCATTCGTTCATACAGGACAATAAAGTTATTGGTGAAACATGGATAGGAAACAGTATCTGCCATTTGTCGTACCTTGGCCAGGTGCAATACTAAGCATTTAGTTCATATTACTATAGTTAATCCTCACAACCTAGTGAGATAGGTGCTATAACACTTCCAGATGAAAATGGAGATGAAAGAGGTCTAACAATTGGCTCAGAGTCAAGTGGCTGAAAGACGAATCATTGGCAACTGTATTTGTTGACTCTGACATCCATTCCCTTACCTAATGTGCAGTACTGTTCCAGCCTTCTAAGTGCATGTGCCGTTTGACAAACACACATTCAGTGTTCTATTATGCAGCATTTAAATGGCTGAAGTCAAAGAGGAAAAAGACCACATTATTCCTAGGGTGAATGATTTCCACAAACCTGTCTCTCTTATCTTTCCCAGCAAATATGGAAGTAGTTTTAGTGCTGCTGTAATATGTTACTTGAAGATGCTAAAGACATTTTTTGTCTAGGGATTCAAAGCTAATCTGCCGGGAGGAAAGGGATGAAACCCACCACCGTTATTACCAAACTGTGTAGTTATATGATCATCACAATACTATTCATGACATTTGCAAAATGGGCTAAGCCCAGAAGGGTTCTGAACATTTGGGTACCTTGGCGTTCCTGCATTGCTGGTGCTGCATCAGTGCAAACGGCACCCTGAAGGGCTGCTGGAGACTGTCCTGGAGCTTCCTCATCCCTTTCATCTCCTGATTCTCCCCCTGAGCCTGAGGCTCTCTGACCACTTGCAGTGAGTTTCATCCGGAGGGCTTGATTCTCTTTCTCCAGTTTGTGGATCTCTGCCTGCATTTCCTGGATAACTCTCATAAGCTGGATATTAGCTTCCATTGCTTCTTTGTATGTCACTCTGGTTTGCTTCTTTTGGGGAGATAGATGGAATTTTCCTCATGAGCCCAAAACACAATCTACTCAGTGGGTCTGGCTGATTCTGCTCATAAACCTTCCTGAACAATAGCTGTCACTCATCTCTGCGCCATCTTTCAGCGCCTGGAGGGTTAGGCTGTCACGGGAGGTAAAAGATCTTCCATGACTTATTCATTCTGGGTTTTGTTTTTCAAAACAGATATTTTCTTTCTCTCTTTCATTTCATGTCAATCCACAGTTCTAGAATACTGCTTTGTGTGGGAGGGTAAGAAAACACTCCCCAAACAGTGACGAACAGTCTCTTGTTTCCATCAGGAACTTACCATCATGGCAGCCACTCAGTCTTTTCTGTTTCCACTTCTGGGATCAGATGCTTCTCAGGCTCACCAGCTGCCAGAAGTGCATCAAAATGGACATAGAAGAATTAGCCCATGTCTTCTTTGTCAAATATGCCATGGTTCTGCATTTTTTGCTAAATTATTAATTTTGACACCTATTGATTAAGGAACGTTATTCACAAGGAGTCATGTGAACTGCAGGGATATTATTTAAATGTGATGTTGGTAATTAATACCTAAATCCATCAAGATAGGCCAAGGAAGGACATATATAATCACTCCTCAGCAAGTTTCTATCGTACAAGCATTTTGCTATTATGTAGTTCTCAGACGTTGGCCTGGGCAAAGGCTGCTAGGAATATTTTGGGAATGTAAGAAGATACAGGCTAAACATTAACCTTGAATGAGAGAGACATGTGACAATTACAGCTTTTGTTACCTATTTCCTGAAGACGTTTCTTTGTGGGGAAATGAAAAGTACAAATCTTAAATAGCATATGCCCTGATAGCAGTATCTATTAATGTTAAACATTAATGGAAATTCAATTAATGTTTAAACACAAATGATCTTTTGCAATAGGGTGAGAAGAATTAGAAAACTTTTAATTGGAAAGATCTTCTTTCACATTCAGTTCTGTTTTCTGTCTGTGTGTGTGTATTTGACCATCCTAATACATATTTGTTGATCGATCCAAGGCTGTTTACATGGAAGGAGTGATTGGAGAAAGCATTACTCCTTTTTTATTCATACACATTTATTTTATATGTTTGAATTTGAGGATATGTTTACTAAAAAGTCAGTATATAAAAATGATGAGGACCTTTTGATATGCTATTTATATTTGTATTTAAATAAATTTTGGTAAACAGGTGCCACTCCAGAGGCTCTAGAAGTAGGTTGTAGAAATATGGACTCTGGAGCAAGAAATATGGACTCTGGAGCAAGAAATATGGACCATGGAGCAAGAAATATGGACCATGGAGCAAGAAATATGGACCACGGAGCAAGAAATATGGACCACGGAGCAAGAAATATTGACTATGGAGCAAGAAATATGGACCACGGAGCAAGAAATATGGACTCTGGAGCAAGAAATACTGACCCTGGAGCAAGAAATACGGACCCTGGAGCAAGAAATATGGACCATGGAGTAAGAAATATGGACTATGGGATTGTAAAGGTCATCCATTCTCACCACCTAGTGGATGTTCAGATCTGTCCCACAGTATCATTGCAATGGATCACGGACCCTATATTTGAGCCTTCCTTATGTAGGAGAGTTTCCTTCCTGCTATTTCCTTTTTAAAAAAATTTACTCATAATTGAGATGGGCAGTATTATTATCCCCATTTTACAGCAAAGGAAATGGGCCTAGAAATTTGAAGAGATTTGCCCTAGGTCAAGGATACTAAATGCAGGCAAAGTGACTCAAAAGTTTACATACTCAACAATAATAATGCAACTTAGAATTGTGCCCACCTCATCAGATATTCTTTAAATTATTCTTAATTATTATGGATACATAGTAGTTGTACATATTTATGGGGTACATGTGATATTTTGCTAAAGCACACAATGCATAATGAGCAAATTGGGGTAATAAGGTATCCATCACCTCAAGCATTTATCATTTCTTTGTGTTGCTTTTTAATTAAAATTATTTACATTGACCAAAAATTGGTCTCCACGCAGCTTATTCTTAGCTCTACTCTTTGGAGACATTATGCAACTTGTCTAATCTTTGCTTTAATAAAAATTATTGTTCCATCATGTTTCAGCGAGTTTCTACACTTCGGAATAAACAGCCTTAAGATTTTCAGCTGTTGTTTTACTCTAACATGTGTTGCAGGGCCTGGAGTCCATCTTGGACTCTCTTTTGAACATGTTTCAATTTGTTGATAGGTTTCTTGAACTGGGATATCCAGTTCTAAGGGTATTCTCCTGAATGCACCTGATTAGAATAGGACAAACTGCTGCAGCTTCCAGAAAGTATTTTGTGGTATTTTCCACAAAAATGGCCAGTAAAATTTATTCTTGAAATTGAACTCAGTGTTGAAACTGTGGTTAATTCTTAAAATTGCATTCAGCATCAAAGCAGAATGTGAAACTAACTTGTATAGTTATTAGAAATGACAAGATTATATCATTATTTATAGACAATTTGATTATATATTCAGAAAGCCCAGGAAATAAATCTGGGTGAGTATTCCCAGAAATTTGGGAGGCTGAGGCGAGTGGATCCCTTGAGCTCAGGAATTTGAGACCAGCCTGGGCAACATGGCAAAATCCTGTCCCTACAAAAAATACAAAAATTAGCCAGGCATGGTGGCATGTGCCTGTGATCCCAGCTACTTGGGAGGCTGAGGTGGGAGGATGGCTTGAGCCAGGGAAATCAAGGCTGCCAAGATTGTGCCACTGCACTCCCAGCCTGGGTAACAGAGCAAGCCCTTATGTAAAAAAAAAAAAAACCCACAAAATAAATCCAAAATTTTACTTTGTAATCTAATCCTATGTTACAAAATAAGTATGTAAAAATCAATAGTTTTTCAAAATACTGTCAATGACCAATGGAAAAAAATCAAAAGTATTCCACTGACAATAGCACTCTACATATAAAATGCCCAGGGATTTTTTTTAAGTTTGTAATGTATAAACATTACAATTAAAAAAAAAACTAACATTTTGCTCAGATATAAAAGAAAACTTAGGAAAATTGAAACTATTTTCCTGGCAAGAAGACTGAATATTTTAAACAAGTCTTAATTTCTTTCTTTCTTTCTCTTTCTTTCCTTCTTTCCTTCCTTCCCTTCCTTCCCTGCCTTCCTGCCTGCCTTCCTTCCTTCCTTCCTTCCTTCCTTCCTGCCTTCCGTCCTCTTTCTCTTTCTTTCTTTCTTTCTTTCTTTCTTTCTTTCTTTCTTTCTTTCTCTCTCTCTCTCTCTCTCTCTCTCTCTCTCTCTCTCTCTCTCTCTCTCTCCCTCCCTCCCTCCCTCTCTCTCTCTCTCTCTCTCTTTCTTTCTCTCTGACAGAGTCTTGCTCTGTTGCCCAGGTTGGAGTGCGTGATGCAATCTCAGCTCACTGCAACCTCCGCCTCCTGGGTTCAAGTGAGTCTCCCGCCTCAACCTCCTAAGTAGGTGGGATTACAGACATGTGCCACCACGGCCAGATAATTTTTGTATTTTTAGTAGAGATGGGGTTTTACCATGTTGGCCAGGCTGGTCTTGAACTCCTGACCTTGTGATTCATACACCTCAGCCTCCCAAAGTTCTAGGACTACAGGCATGAGCCACCATGCCCAGCTGGTTACACACACACACACACACACACACACGTATATATTGTAAAGTGCATGGATGTCCTATGTAATGGAATAGGTCAAGATTTCCCTAGGCATCTATGTAGTTAATTTCCTCATCTCCTGCATCAGCTAGTAAACACCATACTTCCAGCCTCCAGCATGAGTCAGCACTGTGGGAGTTGAGTAGGTTTTTGGCTCTTCTAATGTCTGAGGTTAACATTTTAGAAAAAGATTAGCCACATTAGGACGTCTGCTTTTCAGACACTGGAGAGTTGGCAAGTACCTTTTTTCTGTCCTCCTCAAACAAATACCGTAACATTTTCCTTTTCCAAACATAAAATCATCTTGCTGGGATATGGTGTGGGGGGTTGATATGTGACTTCCTTACCTGTCAGAACCTTCCATTTGGTCAATGACAAAGGATGAGCAAGATCAGAATAAAAAGAAGGGATTTTGATTGGATCATCGGCACTCGATCATATTGCCTTCTGTGCAGAGCTAACCAATTGCCTTGTACTCTAAGACATAATAAGAAAATGTCACTTACATGAAATCTTATGTCTTACTTTTCAAGCAGACATACATCCTGCTGTTATAAATTACTTAAACAGCTGCTGAGAAATTCTACTTTGGTAGCATTTGCCAAGAATTTACCTTGACCTTGAACTTGATATGCAGCTACTGTCACAGTGATTTCCCAGGTGACCAGAAGCATCTGGTGTTTCTATGAGCCCAGACTCAGCCCCAGATTTGACAGTCTGCCATTTTGATGTTGTTTTGACATCTGAGTACCACAAAGTGTCAGAGCAGTCATGTGGAAAGGAAGAAGGAGATGAGAAGTTTTTGATGGGCACAACATACACGAAATGCTGATGAGTCTGTGAGAAGGATGTTTACGGAGGCCCTGAGTCAACACACGTGAAAGAGATTAGCTGCTTCCTTGTGCAGCCAGACGTGAGATGATCTTGGCTTGATTATGTTTGTGTGAATGCAGGGACTTCCTTGGAGACAGGTATGGGAAGGAACATCTAACATTTGATAAGCTGCCATTGGCCCGTAGGGAGTTTCTAATGAAAATAGGAATTTCAAAGCCCCTTGACTGGCATGTGTGTGAACAATTTGAACTGATATAATGGACAGGGTGAAGATCCCAGGTCCTAACTTCTGCTTCGTCACAAGTTTAATAATAGTAACTCATTATTAAATCTCAATAATAAAATATAGACATTGCAAAAATTATAAATAAATGTCTTACAGAGCAAGTCAGGTAAAATAAATGACTAGAGATGCTGAGTTTGGCAACTACTCAGCCCCAGCCAGTGACTGCCATAAAGGATCCTAATTGCAGTGTTTCCAGTTCTTTCTACTGTCAACCTCAAGTAACAACAGAGAGAGTGGTTCTTAA